TTAATAATTTAGTGCTCAATGAGTGCTGCCAGTATGTGATAAAAAATTTGGAATTTTTTTTTTTTTAATTTTTTATTAATAAAAACTGCAAGTTTGACAGTCTGAGCAAGTGACAGGGTTGAATACATCACTCTAGATCGAAGATCTATGATAATCAAGGGTTAATAATTTAGTGCTCAATGAGTGCTGCTAGTATGTGATAAAACATTTGGATTTTTTTATTTTTTATTAATAAAAACTGCTAGTTTGACAGTCTGAGCAAGTGACAGGGTTGAATACATCACTCTGGATCGAAGATCTATGATAATCAACGGTTAATAATTTAGTGCTCAATGAGTGCTGCCAGTATGAGATAAAAAATTAGAAATTTTATTTTTTTTAATTTTTTAAAAATAAAAACTGCTAGTATGATAGTTTGAGCAAGTCACCGGGTTGAATACATCGCTCTGGATCGAAGATCTATGATAATCAACGGTTAATAATTTAGTGCTCAATGAGTGCTGCCAGTATGTGATAAAAAATTTGGATTTTTTTTTTTAATTTTTTATGAATATAAACTGCTAGTATGACAGTCTGAGCAAGTGACCGGTTCGAATACATCACTCTGGATCGAAGATCTATGATAATCAACGGTTAATAATTTAGTGCTCAATGAGTGCTGCCAGTATGAGATAAAAAATTAGGTTTTTTTTTTAATTTTTTAACAATAAAAATTCTAGTATGATAGTTTGAGCAAGTCACCGGGTTGAATACATCGCTCTGGATCGAAGATCTATGATAATCAACGGTTAATAATTTAGTGCTCAATGAGTGCTGCTAGTATGTGATAAAACATTTGGATTTTTTTATTTTTTATTAATAAAAACTGCTAGTTTGACAGTCTGAGCAAGTGACAGGGTTGAATACATCACTCTAGATCGAAGATCTATGATAATCAACGGTTAATAATTTAGTGCTCAATGAGTGCTGCCAGTATGTGATAAAAAATTAGGACTATTTTTTTAATTTTTTATCAATATAAACTGCTAGTATGACAGTTCGAGCAAGTGACCGGTTCGAATACATCACTCTGGATCGGAGATCTATGATAATCAACGGTTAATAATTTAGTGCTCAATGAGTGCTGCCAGTATGTGATATAAAATTAGGAAATTTTATTTTTTTTAATTTTTAATTAATAAAAACTGCTAGTTTGACAGTCTGAGCAAGTGACAGGGTTGAATACATCACTCTAGATCGAAGATCTATGATAATCAACTGTTAATAATTTAGTGCTCAATGAGTGCTGCCAGTATGTGATAAAAAATTAGGATTTTTTTTTTTAACTATTTAACAATGAAAACTGCTAGTATGATAGTCTGAGCAAGTCACCGGGTTGAATACATCGCTCTGGATCGAAAATCTATGATAATCAACGGTTAATAATTTAGTGCTCAATGAGTGCTGCTAGTATGTGATAAAACATTTGGATTTTTTTATTTTTTATTAATAAAAACTGCTAGTTTGACAGTCTGAGCAAGTGACAGGGTTGAATACATCACTCTGGATCGAAGATCTATGATAATCAACGGTTAATAATTTAGTGCTCAATGAGTGCTGCCAGTATGTGATAAAAAAATTAGGATTTTTTTTATTAATATAAACATACTGTCACTTGCTCAGACTGTCAAACTAGCAGTTTTTATTAATAAAAAATAAAAAAATCCAAATGTTTTATCACATACTAGCAGCACTCATTGAGCACTAAATTATTAACTGTTGATTATCATAGATTTTCGATCCAGAGTGATGTATTCAACCCTGTCACTTGCTCAGACTGTCAAACTAGCAGTTTTTATTAATAAAAAATAAAAAAATCCAAATGTTTTATCACATACTAGCAGCACTCATTGAGCACTAAATTATTAACCGTTGATTATCATAGATTTTCGATCCAGAGTGATGTATTCAACCCTGTCACTTGCTCAGACTGTCAAACTAGCAGTTTTTATTAATAAAAATTAAAAAAAAAAAAAAATCCTAATTTTTTATCACATACTGGCAGCACTCATTGAGTACTAAATTATTAACCGTTGATTATCATAGATCTTCGATCCAGAGTGATGTATTCGTACCGGTCACTTTCTCAGACTCTCATACTAGCAGTTTTTATTCATAAAAAATAAAAAAATCCAAATGTTTTATCACATACTAGCAGCACTCATTGAGCACTAAATTATTAACCGTTGATTATCATAGATTTTCGATCCAGAGCGATGTATTCAACCCGGTGACTTGCTCAGACTATCATACTAGCAGTTTTCATTGTTAAAAAGTTAAAAAAAAAATCCTAATTTTTTATCACATACTGGCAGCACTCATTGAGCACTAAATTATTAACAGTTGATTATCATAGATCTTCGATCTAGAGTGATGTATTCAACCCTGTCACTTGCTCAGACTGTCAAACTAGCAGTTTTTATTAATTAAAAATTAAAAAAAATAAAATTTCCTAATTTTATATCACATACTGGCAGCACTCATTGAGCACTAAATTATTAACCGTTGATTATCATAGATCTTCGATCTAGAGTGATGTATTCATCCCTGTCACTTGCTCAGACTGTCAAACTAGCAGTTTTTATTAATAAAAAATAAAAAAATCCAAATGTTTTATCACATACTAGCAGCACTCATTGAGCACTAAATTTTTAACCGTTAATTATCATAGATCTTCGATCCAGAGCGATGTATTCAACCCGGTGACTTGCTCAAACTATCATACTAGCAGTTTTTATTGTTAAAAAATTTAAAAAAAAACCTAATTTTTTATCTCATACTGGCAGCACTCATTGAGCACTAAATTATTAACCGTTGATTATCATAGATCTTCGATCCAGAGTGATGTATTCGAACCGGTCACTTGCTCAGACTGTCATACTAGCAGTTTTAATTGATAAAAAATAAAATATTTTTTATTTTCCAAAATTTTCATCAGATACTACCAGCACTCATTAAGCACTAAATTTCCTATGCATTGCTTTAGTTCTATACCGCGTTAATATAGGCGTTTCAGGGAATACACTGCTAGCTTAATTAAAAGCTGGCAGTGTTCTAATTTTTTGCTAAACTATGAGAGCATTCAATTTCCGATTTTGGCACTAAATTAGCACTAATTGATGCGCTTTATTTTAAACGATTCTGCTCACTTTGCCATGCTAGCTTAACAGACGTCCGCTATACTTTATTATTTATTTATTTACGATATACAGTATCCCGAGCTTAATTCTATAGGTACATACATGGGGCATACAAATTAGCATATTTTAAGCGCATTTGCGCGGGCGAAATCATTATAATTTAGCTGTGGCGCGCAAAAAAATGGTGTCTGCGATATTTATATCTCGCCCCTGGGGCCTGTTTACCCCACCATGCGTTTCTCGTGCGTTGCGTGGGGTGCGTGCTTAGCGCGTTTCATACAAATCGATTTATTCTATTTTTCGGCATATAAATCGAAAGGTTGTTGACTTTCAATATATTGGACGAAACATAGTGATATTTTATTTTATCGTATAACAATAATAAGTCTCTAACTAGGACGTCCAGGTGGCAGCTTGATTACGAAGAAAATGCTTCTTTTTACCATAGATGTCGCTAGGTGCGCTTAAATGTGATTCATGTAAGTTGATTTCTTTGAGTGATAAACTTTTTAATGTAATATGAATTGTCATGTTTGTGTACGATAGCGCAATAAATAAATATTGTATTCTACCACATAAATGTTAGTACTTTTATAATTAAAGCAATTCGTGCAAAATTATTCCCTAACCGTTCCAAAATATTAAAAATGCACAACGTTAATATTCAAGTTTTCAGTTTTGCCGGCACTCCCGGAGTGCAACCCGTCGTTTTTTGCAGTCAAGGATTAAAAGTATACCTACCCAGTGCTAGTTACCTGGTGGTAGTTTCTTTACTGTGCTGGGTGACAAAACTGCTGATAATTGTTATTTTTTCACCGAAATCCAGCCATAAACATTTAATTTTATTATTTTAAAGGATAATTACATTCTATGCATGCGGTGCATCTTTAGCTTAACAGATTGTTTTACAGAGTGTATAGTCTCGTAAATAGTTTTTAGTAATGTGTAAGCAAACACTGGTAAACCACAAAAGAAATAAATAAAACCACATTTAATTAATATATTGACTCCCAATTTTTAAGTAGATACATAGAATTTATTATATATTAGTTATATTAGCTGGCTTCGCACCATCGTAAATTATCAATACGTGCAATACAAACCGGGAACCGCAGTAAAATTAAAATGTTGTACCTTCTAGGAATAGAGTAAAGGCGAAAGAAAACAGCAATATCAGTATAAATATAAGATTTTATTTATTCAGCACTATAGCTTTATCATTATTAGCATCAGGACCCTACATAGTGGCACATATAAGTAAGTAAATTACATTTTCAAAATATCATAATGTTTAATTTATTTACTCAATTATTATATATCCATTAGAATTGTATTCACCATTGTCTTGGCTTTTGTAGATCATACATTCACGGTAGAGTTCTTTATAGGCTTCCCAAATTTGTACTCGTACTTTCTCTTTAAGTTCTGATACGTCATCTAAAGTCATACCAACTGTTGGCACTTCTTCTAATACTTGCATTATAATCCGAGCTGCAAATGTTACAATATGAATATTAAAACTAGATGGTAAACCCTCCTCCACGATAACGGAAAGCTAGAGCCGAAGTCCGAGTCTCTTGTTATAATAGATATACATATGAAAAGTAAAAAAATTAAAACTTTCACACAAAAGTTAAAATTGACACCCTAAAAGCAAAACCACAAAAAAAAGCTACAATACTTAATTTTCTTTCAATTTTAAATATGTAGAGGTATTAACGAAATTTGAAGGTGCTATACCAAAAATCTTCATTAATTTTAGTGAATTTGGTTATAAGTTTGAATATATATTTTTGTTATCATTATAAAATAGGTACTTACGCTGTCCAAATGAAGTTTTTTCATAATCAATGAAATAAAATGGTGATATAGCGATTGGTATGATTGGTATTTGTGATTTAATTGCCATGTGAAAAGCTCCTCTTTTAAACGGCAGCAAGGTTTCTTTATTATGATTTCTTGTACCTTCGGGCATCATAAAAGCTCTTGCCTGGAATAAAAAACAACAATAATTAAAAGGCAAAAGTTCAAAAAAATCGGGCAGTCGGAGGATTACATTGAAAAGTGTTCTGCAGAACGATGCAATAACTTTTTTTTTAATAATTTGTTGTTTGTTGTCTTTTAGTTCTTTGGCAGCTCAGATTAATGATATATTTTGGTAGGACATTTGGTAGGACAGCCATATTTTCTATCTACTAAGCCGTGGATGTACAAAACCAGGGTAGTTCGGTCATTGTGGGGTGGTTTTATAACATTAATTCACATAATTGTATTTACTTAATGAACGTCATTTTTATTTTGCGGGTTAAGTGTAGATAAGAGTGAATTTGATATGTTGCTGTTTCTGAAATTCGCTTTGATGCGCTTCGACTCTGCGCTGGTATTAATTGACCAATTGTAGAGCTTCAAAGGCGTTTCGCACGCACTATCGCAAGGCATCACCTCCAGACAGTCGAGGCTATGCAATGCGGACGCGGGTCTCCCAACCCATGCCCACCTAGCCTCGATTAGGGTGGAAGGAGGAGAGCAAAACGCTGCCTCCTTTCGCCCTACCGTCTTCGTCGAAGCAGGTCTGAGAGGGCAGAGCCCTCTAGAGCCCCCTCCATGGCCTCCTTTCACAAGATGACTTCCTCGCAGAAAGAGGCCACTGCCTAACACGAACCCTCCCCGTCCAGCATAGCTTTTACGACACTGGGCAGAGCGAGGTCCGCCCCCACCTCAGACATTTGGTGCGTCGCTGCTGATCTCAGGCCGGGCACATCTCCAAGGTGTGTTTGGCCGAGTCATCCACAGCCTGTAGCAGCGTTATACTACGTAGCAGCAGTCATACTCATGGCATAACGGGTAAGTCTCCCTCCGAATTCATTCGTCAGCAGTTCATCACCTATAACTTTCTGCCTTTCTATCTTTGATATATTTCTACTATTTAGACGGGAAAGTTTGTAGTCGAACATGAGAGGAAAATTTTTCATAGTATTTACCTTCTCTCTGACAACTTCTCTACCGATTCTCTCCATGTCATCGAGTCCACCCTTTTTTCTATTAACAAACATTGTGCCCAGTAAGTAATTGGTCTGGCCATATGGAAATAGATATAACAGTTCGCTCTTCGACACACCGATAATTCTTCTGATCAATTTTCTCCATATCTGAAATATTACTAAACAAAATGAAATTATTATTATAAAAATTTGAAAGTTTAAATATTGGATTGGTTTTAGACTTGTATAGGAGTTGAATTCATATAAGGTCCACCATCCTGACTTACAGTCGAACAAAAGGTAACGTGAGGGTCGCGTAGGTATATTTGTCTTTGTAATTCAAACATCATAACAAAATGGTTTGAAGTAATCTGCTGTACCAGCAGCTATAAACCCAAATTTTATGCAGACGATAAGATAATGCGGTTTGCGATATCATTAAGTTCAAAAATAACAATTACTTAAAGATGTAGATGACGAGGGCACAGTAAATTCAAGATCGTACCTATTGAAGCACCTCTGTCCGTAAGGACAGAACACTGCTCCTAACATTTGTGTTTCTACAGGGAGTAAAGTTCCCTAGCTCCACCGGGCAGGCAAGTTACTCGAAAATGGCATGCATTGCCCGTGGTACTGATGGGATAGTCCGGTTGACTGGACCATTCGGTAAAAAAGCCCGGCGGTGCGGTCCCACCGACTCTAATAAATAAAATTGCCGAACCCAAACAAGCTGCTAAGCTCCGGGTTATAGTAAGGAAATACTGGTAATCACGACTATATCAGGTAAATACCCAAAAGAAACTGTTACATTACATAAGACCCGCATGCACCTTTGCTAAATATTGATTAAAAAAAACTAGATTTAACCCATATAAAAAAGTCGAAACGTCAATTTCTATTTGACATTCTTGTATGGGCTAAATCAAGTTTAAGTTAAATCGGGATTTAGTAAATTAGGTGCAAGTGGATCTTACCTTATGGCTCAATTACACTTAGTCGATAGTCTGAATAGGAGTGCCAATGGGATTTGGGTAAACGACAAAGTGTAAATGAACGGAGTCGAGAACGCCCGTATTCGGGTAGTTTTCGTTTTGGTTACCTGTCTTCCAGTTCGTATTCCACTGTAAATATTGCTTCAGCCCCCCTAGCATGAGCACTGCGATACGATATATAACGCATTTTTATCACGCTCTATTGTCAAATTACTATGGAGTTTGACAGTTAGACGCGATAAAAAACGTGATATAATGTAAATTGTGGTGCTCATGCTACGGGGACTAGTGTTCGAATTCGAGTAATGTCTTTCGTGCACCCTAATACGGGCTAACGACCAAGTGTAATCGAGCCATTAGTCCGGTTAACTGTAATATCGAAATAATAAATAACAAGGGTACGGTACGGTTGTCCACTCGGCTGTATTATGGAGTATAAAAATTTTCGCCGGTCCAGTCAACTGTACAACAACTGTACTACAAATTGTTAACAAAAATTACCACATGTCCGGTTAACTGTACTACTGTAAAAAAATAACTATGGTCCAGTCAAACAGACTATCCCAACCATGGAGGTTAAAGATAAGGAGAACGATCGCTGTAGAAAATAGTGTCCCAGAAATATGGACAAAATAAGTCAGGCACTGCGAGCGCTAAGTTCTCTCAATAAAAGCGGGCTAATTTGAAATGACCAATGCCGCGAAGAAAATTTGTACAATATTCAACTAACTTCATCTACTTGTACTTATAAACAGCTAACTTCACAGATACTACTTACCGACGGCAGCACGGCTGGTGGCTGAAAAATGAACTGTAAATTCTACAAATTTTCAGGGTCAGGTGGGCTAATGCTTTAATACGTAGTCCTACGTAGTACTCCTTCTCTCTAACCTCCATGATCCCAACCACGGGCAAGGTAGGTACTCTCTATGCTCCGGTATCCCGGACGGCTACGGTGCTCGCTTAAGCCGCCTATGCATGTTAGCCAAGCGGAGGCCCACGGAATACCTACGTCTAGACAGCATATTTGTCTTGCCTTATCATTAATTTGCCCAATATTAGGAAGCGCCAACGTGTATAGACCTCATTTCTTACACTAGCTGTTGCCAGCCAACATTATTTGTCTTACGTTGTCCATAATAACTGATAGCGCACTAACGTATGGGCAGTTCCTCAAAGCTCATTTATACATATTAGCCACTTGCTTTGGTCTTCTTCAAATTTGCCCAACGACGTCTAGATGGTAGCACATGCTTTGTATCAATTTGCATACGCTTGCGTTCGGTCCAGCGCGGACCGGCCTCGGCCGCCAATACATGTTGGCTGTAGGCTTGCCAGATGGCCGGGAAATCCGGGATTGTCCCGGAATTTTGCGTCTTGTCCCGTTTTCAGTAATTAGACCATATTGTCCCGGATTTCGATAATGTGCTAGTTTCGTAACAAAATAAACTAATAACGAATGACACCGCTGGTCTGCTTGATGTTTTAATTCTAGGGGCTGATGGCGGGGTTAATTTGATGCTTTATTTTTTCAAGGAGGGTACAAATATCCCGGAATTGATCTAGCAACCCTAGTTGGCTGCTAACAGGGTTGTTAGTTATAAAGTAAGGGCTGAATTTTTAATCCCTAGATAGATCGTATTATACAGACACATTGAAAATATTTTGTATTAGTATTTTTTATGGGTGACTGACTAGACACTAAATTGTTTTGTAGGAATTGATAACTCAGCCCTTCTTTAACTTAATGATCGTGTCTTAGTGTTGTCTAAAAGGTATTGCTTTTTAGATGTCATAAAATGAGTGAGCAATTAAATTTCTCAATTTGTGTTTATTAACAAGCACAGTATCAAAATGCAATACAACTGAAATACCATTGTATTGTATACGATACGACCTAGGCTTGTTGAAAATATATCGATGTATCGATATATCGATATTTTTTTCAACTTTCGACATCCCTAATACGACCATTATTTTTACTTAAATATTTAAAAATAAATACTTACAAAGGATTTCTAACGACGATTGATGGTTTACTACTATTACAGCGGGTTTATCTTCTAACAACACTTTAGAATTTCGTACCGTTAATTGTATTCCCAGAACACGTTGCCCCAAATATTCGTAAATTCCAGCTAATTCCCTAAAAAGTAAGAATTAAGCATTTGAGACAATTTTTGTTTGTATTTTCTTAAGATCGTGTCTAATATACGCTGGTAAATTATTTCGCATTTGTGGTAGGCGTTTTTCAATAGTCATATCGCAGGAATGACTTGTTCATGAGCCAAGTAGAAGAAGTAGGGCACTGCAATTTCCTGCTCGAATTGAAGCGCTCATCTGGGGAAGCAATCTCCACTTTACAGGAAACCACAGTAAAATAACACTACCTTTGGTGGTGTTGTATTTTTGCTGGTGAGTTCCAGGGCTCCACGGGGTTGGTGATTGGGTTAAGGCTGGCAAAGTGAGAATGAATGGATGGACACAACTTCCGCCGCATCATCTATCTTCGCGACTGGATTCCACTTACACTTAACACCAGGTAGAGTAGGGTAATTTGTTGCGCCTCGTATAAAAAAGAAAAGGAAAGAACGGGGCATTATATTCAGGCAGATCAAGTTGGGTGGGTACTAACGACTTGATGCATCAGCGGGAACATTCGCTCAAGCACGCAGGGACAGAAGTAAAAAGAAATTTGGTCACCCATCATATAATTGCCATTCACTCCGTCTTCCAAGTTTTCAACGTACATTATAAGGTAACGTACTTACGAAAAAAAAAATAGTTTTTTGTGGAAAGAATCCGTATATATGACCATTTCACAAAGAAAACATCCAGAGAAATGAAGTAACTACTTTTAATCATTGAATTTTATAGAGCGTTTGGAAATGAACAATTTAAATAAAATTTAAATGACATTTACACTAGTAATATAACATAAAAATAGGGTATGATAACGGAAAAAAATATGCACAGTAGGGAAAAACAACAACAAAACATGTAAAAAGAACATCAGCATTTTATTGGCTAAAAATAAAGTTTTGTAACACGTTAATGTTTTCTAGGCGTGTCTGCGCCGTCCTTAAAAAAGACAATGAATAAAAACAATAGGATTACGTAAGTTAGTACATACTTATGGCGTGATTACATTTGGTCATTAGCCCGAATATGAGTGCCAATGGAATTCGGGTAAACGGCTAAGTGTAAATGAACGGAGTCGTGTATGCCCGTATTCGGGTAGATTTCCTTTTGTTTATTCGACACCGTCTTCCAGCCCGTATTCCAGTGTAAATATTGTTTCGGGTGCCCGAATTCGAGTAATGTCTTTCGTGCACTTAAATACGGGCTAAAACCAAATGTAATTGCGGCATTATGTTGGAAGATTACAAAAAATATAGCTCTACCGGATACTCGCATGTCTTCTGCATGAATTGGTAATTGATTTCCCTTAAGAATGAAAGTTTTTTTTAATACCCTGACCACCTTATTGATAACAGAGGAATAAGCTTAGACTAGTATCGCCGCGTTTTGTTCATATCACTCAAATGCCATGTGTCATCCAATGAACAGAGACAAAACATGGAGTAGCTAATCCAAGGTTATTCGTTGTTTATTAATAAGATGGTGAAAGTTTTATTAATATATTTATGCTTTATTGCACAATAGAGTGTACAAGTGGCGGACTTAATGTCATTAGGCATTCTCTACCAGTCAACCGGAGAATTATAGCAAATATTTAAAGATGGTAGTGCAAAAAGAATTCATTAAAATCTAATATATAAAATTCTCGTGTCGCGGTGTTTGTGGTTAACCTCCTCCGAAACGGCTTTCCCGATTCTCATGAATTTTTGGGTGCATATTTGTGGGTAGGTCTGAGAATCGGACAACATTCATATTTTTCATCCCCCTAAATGTTAAGTGTAATCCACCCCTAAATTTGTTTTTTCAATATTAGATATTTTTTTTTAATTTTTTTTTATGATACATTATACAACAATACATAAATCCCTAAATTTTCACCTTTCTACTACCAACCCCTATTTTTTTATGGCGGTACGAAGTTCGCTGGGTCAGCTAATATTTTATATAATTAAAGTATATCTACAGAAACAATACGTACTAAATATATAATATATACTGCATAAAATACATATCTATATATATATATATATATATATATATATATATATAATAATAATTATTTGGATACATACATACAAATCTATATTATATCAGGAGGATGCGGATTTTATCTTATGTCTTTCTATATATGTAATCCTATATTGACTGCTTTGTGTCGACATAAGTTTATGTGTAGCTTTTGATTGAATGTGAGCTTGATATAGAATCAAAGATTTTTTTTGTAAAAGAACTTTACAAGGCCTAACTTCACAAATTCTACATCTAAGTCAAAATATGGGGTTTGGCCGTTTCATTACTATAAGAACTATTTTTGTAACAAAAAAGTATAAAACATTGAATAAATACATTTTTCACTTAACAGCCATGTGAATGTAGCGAAATAATATATTAAATCTTACTTAATCAATTATTAGAAGATCTCAATATTTTTTTTCAAAATTTATCACAATTTTAATCATACGTGTACTTATCTAAATAAAAAGTATCAAATGATTTACAGATCACTAAGGTGGCGTCATATGTCTTGTTTGGTAATTTAGGTTACTACTTTTAATTACAATAACTTCAGTTTTAAACAAATTTCACGACCGTGAGACGGACAGACGGAAAACACAGTGATCCTAAAAGGATAAGGATTAGTTATAAATGAAGATACTTATTGTTAAACATAATATTTTTTTTAACTGACTTGTTAAATAAAAATATGTAATAGAAGAATTGATGTATGTTATTTTAAATAGGGATGTAAGTACTTACTTAACGTTCTGAAGATTTCTTCCTTTAAATAGTAATAAAGGATAGTATACTATACAACCCGCAAACCATGCAGTCAAATAAATGAAATAATTAAAATAAAATCTCGCACACTTATACTCGGTAGAAAAACTCAATTTAAAAAGAGAATATGAAATAAAAATGTATAGCATTAAAATCGATTCATTACACTTAGAGATGAATTTAAACAATATATTTGGCATTTTGAAAATATTTTTTCAGTAATGTTACTCCACGCTTTGTTATCGTTAATGCCGCCTCGTATACTAACAATTTTACCTCAAATTTACTGAATACGTATTAGGGACTGCAAAACTATGAGAACTATTTTACCGTCTTTTGTATTAATTGTTATTATAATAATTTCTTTGTTTGTTTTCCATTGTAATTTCTGGAATTTTCTTAAAATATATACATAAATGTTTGGCCATACAAATAGGATAGTAATCATTTATCTAAGAATATGGATTAGGTAGGTCTATAAGTGTCCCATTGAACAGCCATCCGACTACAATGACCATGTCGATCGTGTTTATATTTCTATTATATTGTTTTATTATTTTGTACCATATAATACGGTCACTATTAGTATTAACTATCATGCCACGGCTACACTGTAGCGCTATCGCGAATATTTGGCGTTTTCACGACGCATTTAAACCAAGCAAATATTCACATTTCTAACCGTGATCTGAAATGTCACTTTTGCTTGGCGAACATTTTCCCGACATGACTTGTCGTGAAAACGGAAAATGCTCGCGATAGCGCGGCAGTGTCGCCGTGGTATGATAGTTAATACTACTCCACGACCTTTATTTAAAGTCTTGTGGAAAACTCTCATGTAACACATAATACAATCTTAAATTCAAAAGTAAAGAAAAACCATTAAACATTGAGATGACAGCCCTGCTTTTCTATATACGTAAAAAGTAGCTTCACATTACAAAAACCATGTAAAGGTTAAATTGCAATTTTGGGGTTAAAGAGGTCGAGTTTTAACATCTACCTAGCAGTTACATACTACCACTCTTCGTTTTTGTCTATTCTCATCATGTTTTTTTGTTAACAATTTAACGTAGTGATTGCTTTTTTTGGTTAATCGGTACACTTGTGATTTCTTTGGTCGTTATGTTAAAGCGTACAATCATGTCATCTTCTTAATTTTACTTACATACATGGTTTTAAAGTTTTATGTCCTTCTGAAACTGTCAAAAGTCTCCAATCCTAACTTTAAGCTTAAAATGGCTCAATATCATCATCATCGGCCTAACATTATGTCCTTACTGCTGGGGCACAGCCCATCCCCGTTCATAAAATAGAGAGACTGGGCCATGATCCAACACGTGGGCCCAGTGCGAATTGTCGGGTTCCGTCTTCTGACGGCTGCAGATGCAGCCAGGACCAACGCCTCATATAATAATATTTTTTTTGTTCAACTCACAAATATCTTTGTACCGTATATCTAGATAGCAACCAAATGTATCTAACGATTGTAAAAATATTTATGATGCAAATAAAATTATTATTATTATTCTACGCGTTCATGAGAAATGAGGTAGTAACTTTAAAAATTTCAGAAATATTTTTTATTATGATGTAAAAAATTACGGCTTTCGCAATTTTTCCTTATCTGTACTATAAGACGTTACTTCGTACCAAATTTAACCCTAAACGGGAAGTACCCTGTAGGTTTTGATTTCCGTGCGAGTTTCGAATTCGGAAATTTGCGGCATAAACGGCTGTATCTTTTGATTGCTTTTGCTTAGAAGTTTGATTTTTTTTCAGCTCCAAAAGACAGCAGACATGAGTATTAGATATGAATTTCAGTTTGATACCTCCACGCGTTCCTGAGAAAAACGGTCTTGAAAGACGGACGGACGGACGGACAACATAGTGATCCTATAAGGGTTTCATTTTTTCCTTTTGAGGTACGGAACCCTAAAAATTATAGAAATGTGATCTATTACTTAATGTACGGGACGACCGAAATAACAAGGACGAAACTTCATAAATGCAGTGAGACGTCATAACAGTTTGTTATAATCGATAATTGATAAGTGACTCTACAAGAGATTTTGTTTGTTAATTGGATATACTATATTAGCAGATTTATATAGCAGATTCACGCATTAGTCTCATAGGACAGTTGATAGTTTCACTAATACATTGGTTTTAATGTTAGATCAGCATGGACGGTTGCTATGGAAACGGGTCATAGGTCGCAGCTCATAGAACGTAAGTTGATAGTTTGGGTTAGTAGAAATTGCTTAATTGCTTAAGTCATGTGTTTTCGATCGTTATTATTTGTGTTTATATAGATAGTAGGCATTGATAGGATTAGATTTATGTAACTTTCTTATAGTTTAGATTAGGATTAATGTGTAGAATTTAGCGATAAAAGCCTATACTGTTTTCGTTCGATAGCTATAAAAGCTATATAGTGGCAAAAATTTGTTATTTGGCATACTCTGCGTGGGCTATAAGCACCTTATGACTAGAGAATAAAAATAAAATGTCATTATTACGAAGTTTTTTGAGATAAAAGACAAATATTTGGAAATACAATAAAGGGCAGTTGTTTTTTTTTTAATTTAAAGGTAAAAATTCATAATATATAAATAAAAGTTATGAAAGTAATTTTCATCGTCTGAATTAGGTACCTACACAATTGCTCCATACTGCTCAACTGAGTTATTGAAATTTATTAATTATTATTTTAAAATTAAACATTATCTATGTGTATAAGTTTTTTTTGAGATAGATTGGCAGGAGAATAGATATGTACTCAGACAACAACAGGGAATATGCATGTAATTAAAATAAGGCTATTTTTATATATAATCTCTATTACCTTGTTTTAAATAGCCCCCCATCAATATTTTTACATTTTTGAGCAAGAAATTAAATATTGAAAATATTTGAAAAACCTGTGGGAAGTGTCGAGAGCGGTTGTGACGTAGAAATCCATAATAACTAACAAGCGCCATGTTGACAGGATATGTCAATGTCAACATGCACCTATACGTAGTGCGCGCGCACCTAACTTCTAATCTGTCGACTTGTTTATGACGTCACACCTAGTGAGCCAAAACAGCGAGCGTTTAAAATAACCGTGCAGGGCTACTTTTATCTTTTTCTAGTCACTATACACCGTTTTTCGACGTTGAATATTATTTTACTATATTTGAGGGGTGTAAACTACTTAAACTAATAAAAATATAAAAAAAAAATGCATATTCCTTATTTATTAGTATTAGTATGAGTATCATTTACCTTAAAGTAAGTAAGAAACAATACAACTTACTGATATGAGGTCAGGGTAATTACTGTTTTTTAGATTAAATATTATATTTTTTTATAATTTCAATAGATACGATAACAGAAAATAATCTGCATTACAACAAAAACCTTCGTATTAACATAATTAAATCATGATATAGAAATATGAAGTATGTACATATTCAATCACATTCACAACAGAACAGCCTTGCTATTATGTAAGAACAATGTGACTAAGGTCCGTATTACAGAATGACAACTAAGTGTTGATCTTTACTTGAATACAGTTAGAAAGGGATGTCGCTATGTGCTATATAAATCGACATCCCTTTCTAACTATGCTCAAGACTAGATCAATCACTGAGAATCTTTCTATAAAACGAGCCTTAGTGTTGGCCCACCGCCGGTTTCGCGAAAAGAGAGTTTGTTCCTACAGAATGCACTGGCTGTTCATTAAGCTTGAAACATGTGCCTATATCCTATATTTAGGCTTCGAAATGTCTTAAATATTTCGCAAAATAAAAAATACATTCGTATCCGTAAGAATAACAATAATATAAACGTTTTTGAATCTCCAAAGTGGTCAACCAAATTAAAACTTATCCTATGGCTGATAAACAGTGGCGTGTTTTCTATCAGCACTTTTTGTCATTTTGTTCGTTCCCGTTTGAGTATCACAATATGTAATATTTAAAATAATTCAAAGCAAATAATAATACTAATGGCTAAGCACAAGATTCTTTTGCGCTTAACCGTTTTCCGTCAAAGTGTAGTTTGTGGGTAGCGAATCTAATACTTCTTTGCTCAATTCTTTGTATGTCACCATCATTTTCTGCTGCACTTTGTCCATGAGATCTGGTATATCTTCAAGCGATAAACCCTTGGTGCTGATTGGTTCCAAACACTGTATTATTATATGACCTGAAAATAGTAACAAAATATTCATATATTAAACGTAAGGCACCCTAGAAACGAGCTTCTTCAGTTAATAATCATGGGTAAAGTGGCCAGAAGAAGAACTTTCCAGCCTCGCCAAAGACCAGTTAAAATATGTACGCGGAGCTGTCTGCCAGCCTTCATGAGTTGGACAGGCACTCGAAGAAGAAGAAGTCATAAATTAAATGTTACTTATCGTTACTGTGTATGTACGCTAGTTACCCGACTACGTAAAAATTATATAAAACTAGTGGCCGCCCTCGCTTCGCTTCGGTGTAGAGCTGTAGTGTAGACTAAAATGACTCTTCATATCTTATTATTATAAAAAAAATGAAAATGGTAATTTGCCTTTTCCAAACTTCTATTGACATCATGTCACTCAATTGTTTTGCCTTCCCGGAACCTCTCCACTAACATTTGAAATTAATGGTATGGTATTAAAGTTCAAATTGACTTTTAAGTATTATTACGAATCGTTTCTATGGGAGTATTTTTTTTTAATTTTCTCTGCGTAAGAACTATCCTCGTACTTCAAGGAATATTCTCAAAAAAGAATTATCGAAATCGGTTCAGCTGTTCTCGAGATTTGCGCTTAGCAACACATTCATTTTTATATTATAGAAGAACAGAAGATAGTTTTTATGGGTATTTCAATAGAAATTTTAATTTGTATCCGTCTAGATTTGATTCCCCTCAGCGTGTCACACTTTTGATGTATGTTTTGTTTAGTCAATACTGTATGGTTCAGTTTTGTGTATTTCTTGGCCTTGATGATATTTTTCTGCTATTGCATAGTTTTTCGTTTCATTTTTAACAAATATTTTTTAAGTTATATTTGTTATTTTTAAATCAAAAAAATTTTTTTAAAAGAAAAAAGGATACTTTAATTATTTTTAGTTTAGCGGCTATAACATAAACAAAGGAATTGACAAAAGGCATCAGGATTTGAAAGGAAAAAGAGACAATAAGCTGTATTGGGGCTAAAACTAATATTTGAAAATACTAAGTACTACTACTCTTGATTAATCTACTTTAGTAATTAGGTAGTTCCACTGCTTTTTTATCTTTATAATGATTAGATCAGAGCTCTTACCTTTGTCAAAAAAGTGTTTCTCTTTATTGATGAAGTAGTAAGGAGAGAACACGACGGGTATTATGGGAACTTGCGCAACAACTGCCATGGTGAAAGCCCCCTTTTTGAATGGTAGCATCTTATTATAATCTTTGTTTCTCGTGCCTTCCGGAAACACCCATATTTTGGTCTGAAAACAAGGATATTTTGTTTATGGGTAACTTATTTTTTAACAAATTTGGTTTGATAAAATACATTTTTCACGGATATGGAGGGATGGATTCATTGAGTCTTGTTGTAAACAAGAATGGATAGATAATTTGTTTATTTTTCTACAATTTAAAAGATTATATCCACCTTGTAAAGCGTCCCATAATATATAAGTTATGAAGAGAAATTAAAAAAAAATATTTTAGGTTACACAATAAAAAGCCTTAAAAAAATCAGGAATAAATATAAATAAATGTTTCCCACCAAAACATTTTCTTGAAAAAATTTGCCAAGACGAGATCATATGACTCCCACTGTCAAAAAGTTATCAGGATCTCATGTAGAGCCAAGCTTCTAACTCTACACGCCCTAACTCCAGAAGGCCTAAGTAATTTCACAAACTCTTAACTTAAGTAAAAATATGTGGCATGGCTATTTCGCTACATTTATCTACATGAGCGTATGGTAAAAAAATCCACTGTTTATTACTTATTTGTTTTACAATAGTTCTTGTAGTAAAGAAACGAACGGATCTGGAACATCAAGGTATGCTCAAAATTCTTCTCACAACTGTTTCAAAATGTGTTTATTAAGTAAAATTAAAATCAACGATGGTGCCAGTACCACAGATTACATAATAGTTGTACGCAGTCGGTGAAAATCGGTAAAAGTACGCCTCTGCATGTACTGTTTTTTTTCTATAACGCCTCCCGATTTTTAAAAATCGGACCTAGCAACACTGCCTGCAATGTTTTGAATAGATTTTATTTCGCCAACAATAATATTTTAATGTCTTTAGCAGTGTCCTGTGTGGTAGCACAGTGGGAAACTGATTCTTAACTTGACTGCTATTCACTTACAGCGCCATCTATGATTTATCAGGGGTAATATAATTACGTACCGCACAGGTTCCTTGTATTTTAAGCTACGGTTGCTACGGACGAATAGAGTAGTTTTCATAAAATTTGATAGATGGTTGTAGTACTTTGCAGTACTTATTATTTTAGGTAGTAACTAGCTGATCCAGCGAACTTCGTACCAGCATAAAAATGGTGGTAGAAGATAAAATTTAAGGTTGTATGTATTTTTATACCACACTATAAAAAATAAATATTGTCCAAAAAAATTTTAGGGGTGTGTAACGTAGTGTTCTATCAAATAACATTCCTCCTAACCACTTAAGGATATGAAAAATAGATAGTAGCCGATTCTCAGACCCACGGAATATGCATATAAAATTTCATAAAAATCGGTCAGGTCGTTTCGGAGGGGTATGGTAACTAACATTGTGACACGAGAATTTTATATATAAGATTAACAGGAGGAGGTAAGTACATACTAGTTTTAAGATCTAGATCCTGTACTTTTTAAATGATAGGTAATGTTGAAATAATAGAGATCATCACCTTGTTTTGTTATGTCTTCTCTGCCTAGGTGTATAACTTATATGTAATATCATTGTATATCAGTACAAAACATGACCTGACATCAAATAACAGAGACGTTAACCTATGTAGACGGTTTGCCATACAAAAATACATATTCCCCATTTTACCCCTTCTAAGTTTTATTTTTATGAAAAAATCTTTGTTAATCCCAAAATTTGGATTCAGAGCGGAGCGTTGTCATGCTGAGCGGGGCGGGCGGTGTGGTTTTGGGCGGAGTTGAGCTTAGCTGTGCGAGGTGGAGCAGAGTGTATTTTTGTTCAATTGTTTAACCGACTGTTAAAAGAGCTGAGCTCCGCTTAGCGCATTTCCACTCCGCTCATCTCCACTCCACATAGCTCCGCTCAGATCCGCTTCAGTGAAAACACACCCTTAGAGTAGATACAGGCACTGACATAAAACCGATAAACTTTAATCGACAATATGTTTACCCACGCGTAATCATATCAGTCAGTAAGTAATTAATAAGGTGATACGAAATCAATTGGGTAAATTGTGTGGCATATTTATTACCAGCATGTTACCCGATAAATTAAGTAGGATATTATTTCGATATTATTCCGAAAAGCTCTTACGGTGATATTATTGACATAAATAAATCAGTTGTACTCGATCAACTAAAACAGGGAAAAATTAAGAGCAATGGGTAGGTTAATATGGGATTAAGGATGCCTTCCGTCTTACGCGGAAACGAGTGTGGGTGCCACTTCTGTCCGCAATCTTTTCTACATAATTTTCTTCCATCACAATGATGCCAATGAATATCAAGCTTTACCTTTAATAAGTTAACTCGGTCCTCCAAGATAATACTAAAGATTATTTCCTTAGTACAACCAACACGTGCTGTGTGATTATGTGTGTGTATGTTTCTTAGGTTTTCACGCACATCACTCATTAAATAAAACTAGTTTTTCACGGGTTAATGCATGAAACTTTATTTATTTATTGACGTTTCGCAGCCTTTACAGGCTGCTTGGTCAATAAAAAATCATTCCGACGAAGCAGCCTGTAAAGGCTGCGAAACGTCAATAAATAAATAAAGTTTCGTGCATTAACCCGTGAAAAACTAATTTGATTTATGTGTGTGTAGTTACAGTTATGCATTGCGGCTGCTGAAAAAGATTTTTCGTGATAGGCTGTGTTCATTGCATTGGCCGTGTTACTCTATAGTCGTGTCCATTCAAGTTAGCTAACAGAATAAATTTCTTGGTGGATAAAGTGAACTCGATCTTATAAAAAAGTTATCCGAAAAAAAAAATATTCTGTCAACATAAGGAACTGATAAGAAAACGGTAGAAGCAAATCCCTTGGTGCGGGTTCCGTGGAACATCCATTAAACTTACCTTATCTTTAAGTAATACGTTCGATATGATGTCCAAATGCCTGTAGGCGCCCTTCGCATCGGAGCGTTTAATGAACACAACTCCAGCAAGATAAGCCGAAAGACCAAAAGGCCATATGTAAAAAAGCTCATTTTTCGCCACCACTGTCATCTTGTACACCACGTGCCAAATGTTGAATAGTCCTGAAATTAAATACATGTTCTCAGGCCCACTTCCACCAAAGTTCTTAATTACAACTATTATCATTGTTTAAGGTCAGGCCGCGTTGTTTGAGACATAGTTAAATTTGACTATAGTTATAAATAATACAGAAACAACTAACTATTTGTCAAATTTTTACACATTTACTATGTCTTTGAGGTGAAATTAACCATAGTTAAATTTAACTGTTTCAAAAAACGCGGCCTACTTAGTGTTCGTTGCACCAAGAAGCCAGTTAAATTTAAAGTTAAATTTTAGTAAAACTTTAACCAGCCTCGCTTGAACAGATATTGTCATAGTCAAATTATGACTTAATTTTGACTATCGGCAAATAGTGCAACCCATTTTTTACCTAACCAATACTTTAACTGAACAATTAAAGTTAAAGTAAGTTAGTGCAACTCACGCTTAGAATGCGGTTTAAACATGATTAGCTTTTAAATTTGATTTAGGACTGAAAGTCGCCCCAATGTTTTAATATATTAAGTGACAAGTTTTCCACGATCGAATGAGATTAAAAGTAAGACATGTATAAATCGCAGCTGCTGATTTTCCCTCACGAATAATGCTATATCAATGAATGTATTTGTATTAATAATTATCTTTCACAACACCATCTTAGACCAAATCAAATGAGGCATCTGTGATGTGATGTATGTTCACACAGACTAGATAATAGTTACTCTAGCTCAAGATCAGACAGCAAGATCGTCTTTCAGCGCCATGGAGCACTCCCACCAGTGGGGGTGCTCCGTGTTCAGCGCCCTTTGGTGAACGCTCTTACTGCACGTATATTTTCCTTTTCCACTGGAAAGTTTTTCGAATTTGGCGTTTTCGCACCTAGTGTAACCACTCCACACGCCCTACCCCAGGGACGGCACTGGATATGGGGTGGTATTTATTACTCGTATATGACGTATAATGCGAATTGTAAGAAAAAGGAACATTTGTAAAAATGTCTGAATCAATCCCTAATAAAACCCTACCAATACCAACTAAGTCTTAAAATCTTCGAGTCGAGATTCACTCAAGAATGATTGAAAGCATAAAAGGATTGGGTTGAGTTTTGATTTACAGATTTACATGAGATGAAATGAAATGATATCTAAGAAGGAACAGTTGCTCTGTGTTCGAAATCGGGTGATTTCTGGTTGATGAAATGATATTTTTATTTTTCATTCACTGATTTACTTCTATTTTAAGGATTAAAGGATAGGTGGGTATATAAATAGAAACAAATTCTATAAAAAAAATTATATACAATATTAGTCATAGATTTAATTCATTGCAAAATTGGATGGCGACCTCTTTCTATGTTCTTCTGGAAAGCGTTATAAAATTGCTTTGGAACTGCAGATTAAAAAAAAAGTTCAAAAGAGCAACATGCCTTTGCAAATAATGTTCCTTACGTGTTTTAGTATTCATTTTAGGATTTTGCAAAAGTAGGAACTAAAAGCGTAAATTTATTAACTAATTACCACTGGTATTATTTGGTTGAGTTTAAGGTGTTCTCCGGAAAAGTGATAGATTGGTGTCGATTCTAGCATGATTCTCTAAACCTAAACTTAAATTTGACAGCAGTATATTCTTGTCATTCTCTATACAGAATGAAAAGGAGAGACTGATGTTAAATTTAGTTTTAAGTTTAGAGAATCACGCCAGAATTGGCACCATTGTCAGTCTACAAAAGTTTCCGACATTATTGTTCATTATTCCACTAATGGGGAGATATGAGTGGGGACTTTTGGAATAAATGAATTACTTCATAGGTTTTTACTTTCTGTTCTTTCTCGCTTAGCCGAATAACGAAGACTTCTAACTCATAATACTAATGGTGGAATACAATATTATTTTTTTATGCCATAATGGATATCTCACATCACAATAGTAGTAGTAAAAGGAAAACATACAAGCAAATCGGTACAGATATTTAATTAGGTTTCTTTTCATAAATTGTAATCCTTTTTTACACGTAATGTAGGTAATAGACGACTGGTTTCAATCGCTTTACTTTTTTATATTTGAAATTAAACTAGCCAGCCCATGCTGCCTTCGGACTGATGCAATTTACTAATAAAAAAAAGAGATAGGTAAGTACCTTTCGCAAATGCTTACTGGCTACGGCTACTTACTTACCAACAGGCGGGCCGTTTGCTTGTTTGCTACCCGTTTTCACGTAAAATAGATTGGGTCTACCTTTATTAATCAACTAGTGGCCCGCCCTCGCTTCGCTTCGGTGTAGAGGCTTGTATTATACATTGTCCCCAACGTCCCCCTTCATTTCCTGAATGATACAAAACTTGGGAATAGTCCAATTCAAAAAGTATAGAGATATACAGGTACCTGATAAAGTATTTTAATTATTAGATTTGTTTGGATAAGGATATACGAAAATACTCAGGTACGAGTCATGCGGCCTAGTTTGTACAGGCGGTTACTATTGCATATTTTAACATGAAGAAGTAGTTATTGTGACATAACTGTAATAGTTAGACATATGGTATCCCAGACTTTTATGTAGATCTCTATAAAACTTTAGATAAGAACATCACTTTGGTCTTTTATGAATAACTTCCGCAGCGTAAGCGATATAATGTTATTTTTTTTTGGAATTTTAACACACGTTGGGTTAGATTTTCGAATTTTTCATACGGAACCCTAACTTTTTTGAATATACTCCATAGCCTATGCTGATGGGATAATGCAGATTTCTAAATGTGAACGTGTTGCAATTTGTTGTCCGCAGCGTAGGCGATATAAGATTATTTTTTGGTATTTTTTTCACACGTTGCGTTCCATGCAAATCCATTTTTTTTTGTAAATACTCTATAGCCTATGTTCATCAGGGATAATGTAGGATTCTAAATTTGAAAGATTTTTTTTTATCGGTTCAGGGGTTTCGGAACCTTTTCAATGCAAACAAACACTCCAATATTTCCTCTTTATAATATTAGTATAGAAGTATATGAGTTGTTAATATTATTAAGCATAAACACTCACATAATTATTACCGTGAGTATTTACTATTTTGCAAAAATATTATTAAACCTATTTGTAAACAAACAAATTGATAAACTAATTATTGTGTAACATTTGTTAGCTGGACTTTGATTATGTATAAAATGTTTTAGAGATAATGAAAACTATACAATTGCTTATCGAGGGAGTGATACTACGCGTTTTACGTATATTTTTGCTTATCATTTATTGTTAAATAGAATGTATAATTATTATCACTTTTATTTCAATGTGACTAGTGTATTAAGAACTGAATGATATTTAGTTTTACGTACAGATAAGTGATTGAAGGTTTTAAATTTTATAGGCCTCACGAGATATGTTATCAGTAAAAAAAAAAAGATTTTTAAAGAATTGACGAAATTGGCTGAGGATAATCCAGTGGGAATATAGGTTGATGGCCAGGGTGATTATAGAGAAAGAACTGTATTTTTTTGCGAGTTTCCTCATTAAAGCGTTTCATATTGTGCCTGTTTGTTTTAGTTCGCATTTTTAAGTTCTTTTCTTTTTATGAAGTAGGATTTTATTTTTCTGAAAAAGTTTTTAGGGTAGACCTACAGTTACCGATTTTTATTTAATACTATTTTACTGTCTTTTATGTAATTACTTGAGGTTTTGGTTTCAAATCAAATGGAAATCAACGATTTTATTATGCTATTAATCTATTGGAAAACCATTTCACTGAGGATGTATTTTAGCGCTGTAATAGGCACTATTGTCCCCTTGAGAACGGAAACGGAAACTAAGCGACCTAACAAATCGACATTGGTCACGCCCTCTGAACGTGCAGATTATAGTAATATATAATAAGTTCCTGATTATATTTATGTATTAAAACGTTGACCAAGTATAGTAAAATCCTATGTGCATGTTTGCAACGCAATCGTTTTTCAGTAATTTGTTTGTGTTTTCCGCAATGCCAATGTTACGTCGTGTATTATTCCATTTATATTGCAAAGAAAGAGACCACATAATATACTTTTCAACACATTTGCTACAAAAATACATTTGCGGATGTTTCATGCATTGTTCGAAAACTCAAAACTACGCGCCATACAATGTACCCCTAGCACGAACCATTATCGAATTCGAATAGTTTGCAAACCGAAATGTCAATGTCAAATTTTGTATGGAAACTTTAACAGCAGTGGCACAAAGTTCGTAACGAGAACTAAAAATCAGTACACATTTGACAATGACATTTCGGACTCGCAAACGATACGAATTCGATATTGGTTCGTGCTAGGGGTACAGAGCGTGCGGTAAATTTACCGCTGTGCGTGTACTTTACCGGTTTTTTTTATCTCGATTGAACCTCAATGGAAACGCTTTTGATCTATACGTTTGTCCCACTTTAATACTAAAAAGAAGAAGAGCCGAAAATGTAGTTCTAATTTACACCACTACCAAGTGGCACAACTTGGAAATACGCGCCATTTACTTATAATTAACTGTTTTCGCGCAAATGTGTTGAAAAGCTATTGGTAAAAATATTGGTATTTACAAACTCGTGACTATTACATTGGTCTACTCGTTTATAATAACCAACCTACCACACTAATATCATAAATAACAATTATGTCTCACTTAAAAAATATTGACGGCTACACATCAACAGAAATAAAGCACTGCCAATACATTATTTAATAGTACTATTTCACTTTGGCTTCCTGTACCTAAGTCAGTTGTTATTGATTGTTACACGATATTTAATTCCTTTCTGACTCCACTTTAAACTGAATATAATTATTAATTTATCACTTTATTTACCCACCCAATATATCGAAGGACGATTGATGATTAGATACGATGATTGCGCCTCGTTCTTCTGCCAATATTTCTCCATTACGAAGAATCCAATCGATTTCAAAAAAAGTCGTGATTGGTCTTATTAGCCAAGCACCAAACCTGAAAGTGACAAAATAATTTAGGTATAAGTAAACATATGATAATTTCGATGTCAAAGGACAATCGGAAGGAAAGTTCCTTCGAACGTTTCAAATCTCTTAGGGGGTCCTAACAGATTTGAAACAAGTGTCATTCGAGGCCTTTGATAAGATAGATAATTTCTTACGGCGACATACTTTAAATTTATGGGGTTTAGGTTTTATAAATACTAAAATTGCCCTGCAGTTTCAGCCGCATTCATTTGAAGAAATGAGTTATAGTGGGTCTGTTTTTATTATAGTTAGACATAAGCTGTCGTGGACTTTTCCGTCATCCATGATTGTTTTGTAACTTTTATCGTTTAGACAGTGCACGCAACGGTAGCCCTCAAATGGAATGTCTTTTCCCGTATTTGCAACATTTCTCATTGTTGCTCTGCTTCTTTTGGTTGTATCTTTTTTTATATAGCTTAAAACCTTCATTTATAAATGCACTATCGGACACGAAAATAATTATGCAAATCGGACCAGTAGTCCACAACTTTATGTAAAATGAATTACTTGGATAGAACCTGAAAAATCTAAAGCCAAATCCAAGCCAAGCAGTAAACGGATCCGTGTTCCCATTTACAACTTGCGGGTTGGCCTGGAACTGGCACCGACTCCAAAATATTAATTTGTCTAAAAATGACAAATAATAGAAGGTATAGCTAGAAAACAGGTAATTTTGGTGTTTTCCTGAAACAAAAAGGAATACCATTCTGTAGATATTCCACCCCAGCTAATTTTATATGCAGTCGAGTTGCGAAGATAGCTGATACTCTACGTGGTTGGATCCAGTATGCGTCCGGGATTAGGCTTAGTCCCCGAGAAACAATAGATATCTACCAACACCGCATAAAGGTACTGTTATTTCTCTGTGGTTCTGTAATTTGATATAATTAAGCAGTTATAAGCGTAACACGATTTTCATAGTCTAGTTTATTTTGTTTGGTAGGTTGACTTAGGCCCGTATTACAGAATGACAACTAAGTGTTGATCTTTACTTGAGTACAGTTAGAAAGGGATGTCGCTATGTGCTCTATATACCGACATACCTTTCTATCTATGCTGAAGACTAGATTCATTACTGAGAATCTTTCTATAATACGGGCCTTAGATTTCTTCCTGAGAGTTATAATTTCTACAAAATGATAATTCCTTCGGATCTTTCGACTAGAATATTGCAATACCCGTACATTATTATACGTACAAACTTTATTTAAAAATAATTATAAAAATACTATTTTATTCTATTATTTCGGCTTTTACAGCACAATAACCAAAAAATTCATAGGGCGCCTATTTACACTGTGCCGGTTTTAATTAAATTATTTTAAGATTAAAATGTCATTGATTTTAATTGACCGGGCTGCATAAACAGTATGAGCCGTTACAAAATTATTTATTAACGCGCAGGTGAAGCAGCTTTATCGATAGGTAAATATCGCTGTGGAGTCGACAGGATCCACTCAAATGCACTGCGCTGTCATTATAATTAAATTTCAGTTAGTCGCAGGTTTATTATTTTAAGCCTGTTTTATTGACAGTTTATAATAACAGCAGCGGCTCTGAGGTTCCACTTGCAATATTTATTTATTAAGATCTACAACTAAAGTTGTAAACTATATATTCTAAATATTGAGGCCAAACTACAAAGAATCTTGCTTAGAATGTGTATGCAGTTAGTCGCATCGCATATGACCTTCACAGCGTCACTGGGCTGGGAGACGGCGATATCCTTAAGGGACCTCAAGCCGAGAATTTGCGCGGACCTCTAGTGGTATTCCAGGCGGATGGTATATCCCTTTGGGAGTCTCCTCTCGGTATGGAGCCACTCGGACCTGAGGTGTCGGTTCTACTCTGAGACTCGGACCTATGCTCTAGTTAGCAATTGTCATGGGGGGCTTGGAATCAAGCTACTCGTTTGTGTCTTATCTTAGTGATCAGATATATTACATTATCGCTAAATTGCTTCTACTATATCGCTATAATGCGACCTGCAAAAAGGCTGCAAGTGCAACTTCAGTATACGTACTTGTAATTATATGGATCTGCCTAACTTATCTCGTGACGTCCGATCCTACCCATATGTAGTCGTACCCTTTGCACTACTATGCACTCTGAGATATGATGTGATGACAGTAGGTAATTTACCTAAGGTCACAGAATAAATTGCTAGGATAAACGATGTAATTATTAATTTTAATTAGGTATGCCTTTATTGAAACATGCAAGTAGGTCAAATGCAAAACAAATGAACGGTGTTGCATTATAACTAAGAAATTAGTTAGAGGTGAATTTATTAATTTAATGTACATAGATAGAGTTACAGAGCACAGTTATTGAGTAGCTAGGAAAATTTTAGAATTAAGCAAATAAATAATCTAAACAGCGTTCCAAAACATTGTTAGTAAGCTGCATAGACCATCGTCTTCAGATCAGACGTACGAGGCCAACTGCTAAGCATAGACCTTCCCCAAGGATCTCCCGAGGTGGTCCCATATTCACCAAATCAGGACGTTAGATAAATCGAGGAAACTCTTCCAAAATTATAGGAACATCTATAGTAAATTGGATTTTTTTTATAGTGACTCGTTTATTTTTCTCTCGGAAAGTGCTACTTATCTGCTGAAGTGGAATTGACGATGATAACTACCAATGGCCACCGGAACTAACCAATTTTTAGTATCTATACTTATCACGAGTTGCGATATGATTGCTTTAACATGTTTGCTAAGCAATTTTCATTTATCACAATGCTTAAAAAGTGAAGTGTGTGATAGTGAATAGTGAGTGAGGAGGTCAAAGGCGCAGGCGGTTAGTGCATTCGGCCTGCGATCGTTGAAGTTAAGCAACTTTCGCAAAGGTCGGTCATTGGATGGGTTACCAAAAAATATTATCTCGAGCTCCTCCGCGCTTCGGAAGGCACGTTAGGCCGTTGATCCCTGCTGCATATGGAATCGTTAGCACCTACCAATTCACACTAGGCCATCCTGGTGGTACGTGGCCCAATCTTCCTATTCCATCCATAGGGAAGGCCTGTGCCCCAGCAGTGGGGACATTAATAGGCTGATGATGATGATAGTGAAATACCAGGAGAATTCCACAATAGTATTGTCCCTGAACTCTGTTAGGCTACACTTTGTACAACATGATTAGCCTTTTTCATTCGGCTATTACTACATAGATAAATTACATACCGACTTATTGAAACGTTGACCAAGTACCTAAACTTAGTTGATGTCGCGATAAAAACTATATCAACAAAAACGAAAACAAACTTAAAAAAATATTTTTTCAAATTACAATACTTACCTATTAGAGTCTTAAACTTTAGTGGTTTTGTGTTTATGAGGTCGGTTTTTATGTAACACTGGCTAACCCAGCGAACTTCGTACCGCTATAAACATAAGGATTGGCGGTAGAAGAGTCAAAAATAGGGTTGTATGTATTTTTTTAAAGACGCATTTTAAAAAAAAATGTCCAAAAATAATAAAAAATATGTTAGGGGTGGACAACCCGTATCACTTAGGGGTATGAAAAATAGATAGTAGCCGTTTCTCAGTTTTTTTTTTAATTCAATACACACCAATTAGCCTAGCCCCAAAGTAAGCATTGTAAGGCTTGTGTTATGGGATACTATGGTAACGGATAGAATACATATATTGTTCATATATAAGTATATTTAAATAGAAATACATATTAAACATCCATGACTGGAGTACAAATGCTCGTATTCATCACACTAACATTTGCCCCTCCCACTTGGATTTGAACCTGGGACCTCTCGAGTCAGCGACACCATAAAACCCGGCGTATAAACCACTCAGCCACGGAGGTCGATAAAAATTAGGGTTGTATGTATTTTTTAATGCCACATTATAAAAAAAAAACTTAAAAATATTAAAAAAAAATAGATTGTTTTAAACTTTCATGGTCACTAACATGTTAGGGATGGACAACCCTTATCACTTAGGGGTATGAAAAATATATAGTAGCCGTTTCTCAGATCTACTGAATATACATATAAAATTTCATGAAAATCAGTCAAGCCGTTTCGGAGAAGTATGGTTACTAGCATTGTGACACTAGAATTTTATATATAAGATAATGTAGAGTTTTAAACACATTAATTAAAGTATTTTAGTTTTGTTATTGAATGCTTAGGTGTGTATGAATTCTTTGTACTTCGATGAAATGTATTCGTTGCTATAATCTATATATATATATATATATACATATATACATATATATATAAATGAATTGCTGTTCGTTAGTATCGCTAAAACTCGAGAACGGCTAAACGGATTTATCTTATCTTGGTCTTGAAATGTTCGTGGAGGTCTAGGGAAGGCTTAAATGGTGAGAAAAATTCGAATTCTACACTACAGCTCTACAGAAGCGAAGCGAAGGTGGGCCACTAGTAATTTATGAAGATCACTCTTCTGTTGTATTTTTAATCTTTTATGCACAATACGTATGCGTGACAGGAAATCGAGTGGTACGATCTACTCGTAGTATCATAGATAATTCTATATGCATATTAATAAAACGTTTGATGTTTGTTTGTTTACCGACTCAAACAATTGTTTTTGTATTCTAAAATCAAATACTCAAATTTCTCATTTGAATGTGGCAAAGCTATTAAGTATATTGTTTTTGTTAAAAAACTTGTATAGTAACGTCGGTGCACTGGTGGGGTTAATTCCCATAAAAATATAGCTTTAAAAGTAAACATATATTATTTTATGAAAATTCACCACTACCACAATAATGAACTACCTACTTACATTTAGTGCAGCACTAAGAATAGAAATAGAAAAACCTTTATTCGAAAAATACCAGATCTCAAATCAAAAGGGACCCTGACTCCTAAAAATAAAAAGTAAATCATGTGTGTATTACTTAGTAACATATCCAGAATACTCACTAACAAATTCCACAAACTCTTGTTTCCCTTTTGCCTCCATTGAAATATTGAAGTATCATTGAAAGTATTCATAACCATGTATAAATATTTACGCACTCGAATACACACAACGATAATATATTCTAAACAAAACTCACCTCGCGTTGTGTACGCTCTTCGGATTGAATAAGAAGAATGGCCATACAAAGAAAGCACACACGGACGAATAAAAATAGTACAAAACGAATTTAAAATTAAACTTGTATATGTTATGTTCTTTTTGAATGATTTTCCGAATTAAGAATGTTAAGGCGCACGCGAAGATCATAAACAATTTTTCCCACATTGTTCGATGACACTGTCTTATTTTACGATCACTATCGGCTTCAATCGGCACCACTGGGTGTGTGAATACACGCGGGTTAATCAAACTATGCCACTTGTTTATCTGATTAGGATTCTTGGGCTTGACTGTGTATAGTTTTCAGTCATTCGCTACGTTATCAACTCGACGAGCGAGCGTACTTAATTTGTTTGTCTGTTTCAATAATGTATGTTTGTGTAATGATTACAATAATAGGGATGATGACTAATTTTTTTTCTTCGTTTATCAGGTAGATTATCAAAAAGTATTGGACACGTATTTTTTCTTTTTTCACATAATATAAACATTGCAGAGATATATTGATTTGAAAAGTCGCAGGACGTCACGTTTTACAATTAAACAAGTACAATTTTCACTCAAAAGTGACGTCACGAGCCCCTACTCCCAAACTTGGACGCGCAAAGAAAAAATAGATGTCCATTATTTTTTGATCACCTAACTGACGGACTAAATAGAATTTCGTTTACTGTACCCAATCATCACCCCTATTGTCTATGGGAAGTCTGATAAGGCCATGCGCGTTATTAAAATAAATAGAAAACTGCAAACGTTAGATGATGACGAAGTTATTAATAAATAATGTATTTCGTTCATTAAATGAAATTGAGAAAGTTAAATGCTCTATGGCTACTCACTTACATTGTGGCCGCAATGTAACTTTGGAGTTTTTTTATTTAAAGTTAGCAAGCGATGCTGGAGTCGTTTACGGCGGTCGTTAATTTTGATTAACTACATAAACTTAATGCCATAAATCACTTAGTGTACATAAACAAGAAAAAAATGTCAGAACTTAGTTAATTAAGTAGTTATCTTATCTCTGTATTGCGTGTGTGTAGTTTTAGGGGTAGATTACAGCTAACAGGGGGCACCCGGTGTTACACATATAAAAATTTTACGAGTCTTTTCTGTCTTTGTCGTAAAGTTGACGGAGCCTCACCGTAAACTAACCTAATTTTGGCATGAATCACAAATGTGGGTCCTAGAATGCGACGTAGGTACCTATCATAAATTTTTTAATGTTATAACATGATTAATTTTATAACGTTATGTTCTCCAAGCATTAAGATTTTACTTTTGAAGTCGAAACATAGAAGAAAAAGAAAGATACAAATAAAAAATGGAAAAGTTTTTAATGTAAAAAAAATATCAATATCTCGAAAGTGGGAGAGCTAATCGTTACTACAAGAACTATTTTATAATAGAAAAGTAATGAACAGTGGATACAATTTTCACTTTACGCCCTAGATGTGAATGTAGTGAAATGGCCAAGCCACATTTTTGACTAAGGTGTAGAGTTTGTGAAGTTAGGCCTTGTAGACAGTGCCGTCTTTGACCTATTGGAGGCCCTGGGCAAATTAGGATAATGGGGCCCCTATGACCCCCGTTTGATGATTTAACAGGATCTAGGGACTTTGTATTTGATCTGAGGGGGGCCCCTATCGATCGCGGGGCCCTGGGCACTTGCCCAAAGTGCTCACTGGGAAAGAGGGGTCTGCTTGTAGAGTTAGAGCTCTACACGCTCTACGTATCACATAATATCCACTGTTCACTTACACTTCACTGTATGAGTCGCACTTGGTAGCTTAGAAGCTACATGAGAATTGATAACTTTTTGACAGTGCGAGTCATATGGTCTTGGAAAAATTTCACATGAAAATGTTTTTGGTGGGATTATTGGAGAACTATTTACCTGACACTATAAAACGTATTTTTATTGACTATAATTTATTTATATTAATAAAAAAAAATTATTTGACCATTTCAACTTTATTTTAGAATTTTGTGATTGATTAATTATTTATTATCACAGCTTAGATCTACAAAAAATGTGATCATTAACAAAATATCAAGGTCATAGTTTGACATTGTTCTTTTGGTCTGATGGTTAAATGACTATTATAAAAGCCAACTATAATTAAGATGGCTGACATAATGAAAAAGAAAGTACGTCGTAGCATTAAATATGTTTTTTTCGGACGTGTTCAAATTATCATCCGGCCTCAAAATAAGCATATATGGTACTGTGTGTAGCATAGCTAGATAACGTATAAACATAATTAAATGTATAATAAACATCCACGAGGTTTATTAATGCAACACGTTAATGTTTTTTTCCTGTTTTTTTATTCATATTTTACTGCCGCAGTTTTAACCATTTCGGCTTTACATTAGTATCGTGATTCTTTACTATCCATTTCGGTAAATATCTTCGTAATCACGTAGTCGTATAATATGGGACATGTATTTGTTTTATTAAGATAGATGAGCATTGGTTGGGAATGTTGCAGTTTTGGTAGATTTTAGAATTAAGCCATCTATCAATAAAATCCTCTATAGATTGAAAACAGGGCAGTCCAAGATAAGATGTTGCAAGCATTCAACATTATTTATTCGTTTGGCAGTAGCGGCATCCATTTGAGTATTCTGATTTGATTCTGTGTAAATGTTCACGAAACATATCCATTCTCAGCCGGTTGAACGTGGTAATAAACTTCCTGGCTGGATTTTTTAATTCATATAGCCACGATTTTTCAGGTTCGTATCGGGATTGCAGCATGCCATGTTCCCCTTTTTCCTGACTGAACGTTACATAAAACAACTGAATTTAATACAAAGAAATATAACGTTTAAATATAGATTTTAACTTGACCGTAAAATCGAAACCCATTACAATTTTAATTTACTACTACTTAAACGCTTATTATTTGCTTTTAATTTCTCGATTCGATTACTACTACGAGTGAAATTTTCTGATTACGGCATTTAACTTATATGCTTCGATTAAACAGCGTTATGGTGAATGTAATTATTAGAATTTTTGCGTATACCATTTTGTTAGTTGTGGAAATAACATCAACTCAGGGGTTTGGGGATGAAGCCACCAAATATCCTCAGTCTTATCGAGATTACGTATTCCATAGCTTGAGCGAGAAGGGGAAGGAGATGTTCTATGCTATCAATATACGTAAGTAAAACATGTAAAAGAGATTTTTTGTTAGTTGGGTTGTAGTGTCTTTTTCTTATCACACTAAGGCTCAGAACTCATGACACGATTTTCTCCCGCCGCCCGCTGCGGTAGCGGGACCGCAACTCGTGTAGAATGTGAAATCGTTGGTAAAACGCAAAAGCAAATTACGCGGCGCGACTTATATCCGTTGAGTGCGCAGTTGTTTACGACACCCGCGGCTGCCTTTGTTTGATCTTCTTTACTTTCATTTAGAACGTTCTCGTAACCACTGTGGCTGTGGATCCACAGAAAACTGCCTCGTGAGTTTTAAAAATAAAGCAGCTTTGCAGACACCCGGCGGGTGCGGGTAAAAACAGCGCCATGAGTTTTAAGCCTTAGGTTCTATCTTAGTAAGGCGACACCTTCGCGTGCGAAGGAATTGCGGCGATATTATCGCCATGCCATGTATTTTTTATACTTTCATAGAACATGCTTCCACACGGCAATGCAATGTGTGGCTGAGTAAGAGGAAATAGGAAAAAGCCAAATTATCGTTGGACGCCTGGAGCTAGTCGAGGCGTTACTGAGGCCAACCCGTTGTACGCTCGCCGTACAATGCGGTGCTTTCGCAGTGATAGCGCGGCGACTTTCCAAAAGTCAAGCGACGTAGGCCATAAGCTCTAATTTTTAATCACTCGTTTGGAATCATATATCTACATAAGTCGCGACCCCTAAACGCGACAACTAGAGGTTCAATCAAGCCAATAACAATGCCATCAATCGCAGCCGCTAGTAGCGTAACGGCTGGTAAGAAGCTGGTTACTGTGGCATGTTTGTGCGCGATGCGAACGACAAGTAGCGAGCTCGGGCGACTTCCGCAGCTAATTCCTTGAACGCGGTCGAACGTTCGGTTGCGCCGATACTATACAAAATATATGAAGAAACTCATCCGCAGCATGTGGCCGCATAGTGCATCCGTGTCTAGTGTCTCAATGTGCGGTTGCGCTTAGTAGTCGTAGCAGACACGAGGTGATTCCATAGCAAGTGACGTTAAAACGTCCACGAAATAATTGTCATCCCCTGATAAGGGGCGAATTTTAAAATTTGGCATCCTGGGCCATTTACGATTTGTAAAATAAAGGTCAGTAACGAAGCTTTTGTGTTTTTATGTGGCTTCTGCCGCCAACCGCAGCTCTTGCAGTCGCCCCTCGAAGGCTGCCGCTCCGGCCCCTTTTGGCTCTTGGGTAAATACGCCCCAGAGTGCCGTTAAGTTTACCCAACACGAGTCGACACGATTTTCTCGCTCGTGGAGAGAGCGCCTAAGTGTTTAGAATAGGTTAGAATGAGTGAGTGTACAAAAATATTATTGTCCTGTTCTACATAATGTAATATTGTATGACACTTCTAATTTACAGATCCATCATGCGCCGAAAAAAACGGAGAGTGTATCAAAAGAGTTCAATGTATCGAGAAGAAGTTTTTATATATAAGCAGAGTGTGTTACAGGCGGGACTTAGTTTGTTGCTATGATGATACAGTACGAAATCCCGTTGTTGGTACTAATTCTTACGGGAGCACTACCAACTCGGCCAATAATGTGGGCGGTTGATGCCTTCAGGTTACACAATAGAGCATTGAGTTAAAAACGTATTGAGTTAAATTGCAAAATATTAATGAAGTGTTTCCAATCCTACATTTTGTATTGTTTTTTTCGAATATTTATCGAATTATTCGATCTCACCTGATATTATGTGATATTTATGAATCAGCAGGGGCGCATTTTAAAACTGGCGCCCTGGGCTACTATGAATTTGTATTCCCCCTAAAAATATGTATCAATACAATACAATATACAATACTTTATTGAAAAAAACACCATAATACGGTACATAAATGGGGTAAATACATTATGGGTAAACAATGTGCTTCAATGGGCGGTCTTATCGCTAAAAGCAATTTTTACCAGACAAGCTATGGATGCAGAGGATTGGAAGGAACTGGAGACGGTGGTGTT